AGTGAGCAGTTCCTGGGTTGTTTGCCTCTCAATTCTGCACATAGACATTGGTGGACTATCTGTAACACTGTGAGCTTTCATGGCACATACACCTCTGTTGCTTCTGTTCCTCTCCAGCATTCTGTGTTCCATAGGTTATGGTAACAGCATTGGTTGTAAAGAAACAGAATTGATGGATGTGATCTTCCATTGGCCAAGTTTCACAGGATACACAATTCTCTGCATTTGACCTGGTACCCACATATACTGCAACAGAGAATAAAATTTCTTTTAACAAAAAGTTTCTAAGTGTGTTTTTGGGTTTTTTTGTTTTTTGTTTTTTGTTTTTTGGTGTTTTTGAGACAAGGACTCCCTATAGCCCCAGCTTTCCTGGAACTTGCTATGTAAAGCAGGCTGACCTTGAACTCACAAAGATCTGTCTGCCTCTGCCTCTAAGGCACTGGAGTCAAAGGCATGCAGCACCACACCCGGCTCTAAGTGCCTGGGTGTTTTGTTGTTATTTTTTCAAGTTTTGGAGGGTTTTTATACTTGTGAGGAATGCAAGCAAAAGGTACATAGCATATACATGGTAATTAAGTAAGATAACATAGGGCTGCAAAGATAAAAGAAATGCAAAGATAACAGAAATGCAAAAGCCTTAGGCAACAAAGATTTCTATACAGGACTGTGATCACTTTGGAAAACAAAGAGTTCTATCCTGGATAACCATAGGGGGCAGGGGAAGATTCCTGTTCCCATTCGCATTCCAGAATTCTTAATACCATCACATTACAAAAGCTTTTAGCATTTGATAAGCTCTGTTTCCATATTATCCCCTCCTCTTCCTTGATATAATCCCTTATGTTATTTAAGAGAAACTTTATAATATTTTTGACAAGTTACCTGGCGTCTATGGCCTCTGCTTGTTTTTAATAAATTTAGTGAGCATTTGATAAGCTCTGTTTCCGTATTATCCCCTCCTCTTCCTTGATATAATCCCTTATGTTATTTAAGAGAAACTTTATAATATTTTTGACAAGTTACCTGGCGTCTATGGCCTCTGCTTGTTTTTAATAAATTTAGTGAGTTCATCATCCAGGATTTTAACAGGAAAGCTAATAGAACCACAACTACTGGTTCTGTTAGTGAGGCTAGTCAGGGACCAACGTTTTCCAGGTATTTTTCAGAAATACTTATTTTC